AGAGGGCAAAGGGCCCACGGGGGCACCATCCTCGTGGCGAGCTTGCGGTGCAGTAAGTCTTTCAGTGCTGTTTTATTTGTGGTACAAACAGGGCCATAGAGCCTGACACATCTAACTGCCAGGACTGAAGCCTTCCTCCTATCTCCCCAACAGCTGGGGTGCTTGGAATAGTGGCAGCTCTGGGAACTGGGGACTGTGGCTGGAGGTGCTGGCCACGAAGGGGGAGGGGGCAGCAGGATCTAGACTTTTTTTGAATTTTGGGATTCTCGGTGGTGAAACAATTTCTGACCGTTAGGCCTTCCGTCTTCGTAGACTTCATACCTTCAGAACTGCCTGCATTACTGTTACTTAAAATGTTGAGTCCTCCCTTGTATCTGGTTGTGACCGGTCTGCGTTAGCCTTTGACACTTCCAAGGTGGGATGATGGCTGGCCGAGGGAGCACTGGTGACTTGCCCATGACCTCCTCCCCATGGAGCTGAAGTGTGGAAAGTGGTCAAAGCAGGACTTCCTGGTTGGAGGACGTTCTGCCTGGGGTGGAGCTCCTCCCACCCTCCTCTGCTCTTTTGCTTTCTGTCCTCAGAGTAGAGGGAAGGGGCAGGCTCTGAGTTCTTCCAGAATGCGGGACAGTCTTCTCAGAAATAATGGTTCCGTTTGACCCTGCCCCCACCCCACAGGTTTCCAAGAGCTCATGGAGCTGTGAGGGGTCCTGCTTGTTTTCATTTTGTCCTTTGGGGAATCTTTTTGTTGGAATAATCCAGTCTGAAATAGGGAGTGTTTCCTGCAGGCTCTCTTGGCCTCTTAAAGTTTATCGCACTTCTAACCATTTTAAATCACATTTATTTGTATGTGTTCGGGGAGACGGGGGAGTGCGAGTGGCGTCCAGGTTGCAGGTGGACAACTTTCTCGGGTTACGGTCTGGGGACTGGGCTCAGGCTATCAGGTCATGAGGTAACTTATTAGCAGAGCTATCCTTTAACGCTCCATCCCCCCATCCCAGTCAGTCTCTTTGGAGACACAGTCTTGCTGTGTTTTGTAGGGTGGCTTCAAATTTGTGATTCTCTTTCCCTGTTCCCCAAATACTGAAATCTTACTGTATAAGTGTGCATCACCACCTGCTGGTAGGTTCTTTGAACTTTTGTACTGGAAATCTAACAAACCTAGGGTGTCTCTCTCTCTCTCTCTCTCACGCACACACACACACACTGAGCTATATCTCCTTTCTCCCTAGGATGCCCAGGTTGCCTTTAAATTCACTCTGCAGCCTCAGTCTCTTGAGTAGCTAGTGTTCAAGACCTGTACCACAAGATCAGTCTTTTTGTCCTTTGAAAGTACATTCATTAGCCGGGCGTGGTGGTGCACGCCTTTAATCCTAGCGCTCAGGGAGGCAGAGGCAGGCGTATCGCTGTGAGTTCCAGGACATCCAGGGCTACACAGAGAACCCTGTTTCAAAAAACTAAAGGGAAGGAAAAAAAAAAAAAAGCTCATTTATTTCTTTTAATTTCATATGTATGGATATTTTGCCTGCATAAAAGTCTGTGCACACAGTGCACGCAAAGGCCAGGAGAGGGCATCTGACCCCCCTAGAGCTGGAGTTAACAGATAAGGTCTGAAGACCATTGTGTGTGTGTGTGTGTGTGTGTGTGTGTGTGTGTGTGTGTGTGTGT